CCCGCGCCCGGCCTCGCCTCCGGGGACAGGGACCGTGCGCCCAGGGGCTTCTCTCCTAATTCGTCAGAGGGCGGCAAAAGTGGGTTAGGATTCGACGGCCGTCCAGGTGATTGTCCATCATACGCTGTTCCAGGCGCTGGGAACACAAGCCAGCACACACTGTTCCGGAGGGTGACAAGTGTCATCGGAACAGGAAAACGGGGTGATAGGGAGTGATGTCTCGGGGCTACGTGAGCGGTCACGAAAGGTCTGTCCGGGGAGGTGCCGTGGGCTGGGTTCTGCCAGGTGCGAAGGGGTATTCCAGGCGGGGGAACTGCAGGGACAAAGGCCCCGAGGCAGGAACAGGCTAACCAAGTCCCTGACGGGCTCTGGGTCTACGCCTCGGTAAAGTGCAAAAGGTGCCGGGCCCTCAGCCCTCCAGGGTCCCTCCAGACCCGAGAACTGCCTCAGAGCCTCCGGGAGGCTGATGGGGTGGGGGGAGTCGACCGTGGCTTCGAGGGCTGGGATCCGTGGGGAGACGCCGCAGCACCGCCATCCGGAGAGAGCGCGCGGGAGGGCCAGCGCACGTGCGCCTGACCCCGTGCGGCCCAGGGTGAAAACCAGCGTGGGAGCCGGAGGAGGCAAGGCCCGCGGACATAAGGAAAAGCTGCCAGAAGGTGGGGGCTGCATGGCTGTGGGAGCGCAGTCAGCATATCGGGCAACCTTGGAACAGCCTGTGCCCTTCCTTTCCCACCCCCCCACCCCCGGTGAGTGTTTCACCAGCGCCTACCCCCGCCCGGCACAGGCTGGCGCTGGAGTGCTGTAGCATGAAGCCGCTTCCAGGAACAGTGGGAGCGCTAGTGCGGGACTCTGGGGCTGCTCGATTGTCACTTCCCGGGGCCACCACCTAGTGGTGCTGTGCATGGTGGCCTCCAGCGCTCCCAGGTGCCCGTGTAACCGGAGCCACTGTAGGAGCAACTGTGCCTGCATGGCTAGGTGAGTTTCCAACACTTTCACCCGGTGAAACTGGGCTCACTCCCGCCAGGGGAACCGTGGCCCCTGGGATCTGGAACCCCTGCCCAGCGGTCTAAGGACAAAGGGCAGGAGGAGTGTTTTCCTGGCATGGGTGCTGCCCTGACTGGTGGCCTTGCTGCCTGCGGGAGCTACCCTTCTCCAGCATACCCAGAGGCAGGTGCACCCCGAAGCCAGCAGGTGGCAGGGGTACTGCAGGGAGGAGGAGCTAAAATGGCTTGTCTTGGGTATCCTTCCTCTGTGACTAAAAATCCCTGCAATTCACATCCTCTACCCCCAAGTGGCTGCCCTGGCCCTGGATACCCTCATCTTTCATAGGATTTCGGCATTTCGTCAGCCAGGGCCAGGTGATGTGTTGCTGCTATCCCCGAGGACAAGGCAGGTGCCCTGAGCCCCTCCCACTGCTGCTAGGGACATCTCCCTAAAAGCCAGGTGTGAGCACCCAGCCCTGCTGACTAACCTCTCGGCTTACTCCCAGGCTGGGACCCAGGCCTTCTGGCCTCTCTGGGCTCCCCCACGTCCACTGGGTCCTCCCCAGCAGCCCCAGAGAGCCCAAGCCAGCAGTAACACACGTACCTACCTCTGTGCTAAGCTCCCCCTGTACAACTGTTATCCCCATTTAACAGCTGGGAAAACAGAGCATGGGGAGTTTTCTGTTTGCTTTTTTTTTTTTTTTGTCTTTTGTCTTTTTCCGTGTCCGGCAACGGATCGCAACCCTCAGTGTCGCGCCCGCACCGGACCAGGGACCGGCAACGGGACTGCAACCCTCGGTGTTGCTCCCGCGCCTCGCTCAGCCAGTGAGCGGGAACCGGTCTGTATGTGGGATCCGAACCCTCGGGCGGGA